AGCTCACAGAGATCCATTCAGAGCTGCCTGGATCCAGGTCATGTGGACTCACACGGGACTACACAGATCCACATGGATCCCACACGGATCCAGTAACATGTGGATCCACGTGCATCTACACAAACCAACATAGATCCTACAATGACCCTCGTGAATCCTACGTGGATCCAGTCACGCAAATTCCACATGCATCCAGTCATATATGAACCAAGACATGCAAAGGGCATGCTTGGATCCACACAAACACCAGAGCATCTGCACCCATCCCCAACTCCCAGTCCCTCCCAGTGCCCTCACTGATGGAGGGCCCCATCTCCTCCCCCATCCCAGTACCCTCCAGTCCCTCCCAGTCCCCTCACTGATGGAGGGCCACCCCTCCCAGTCCCTCCCAGTGCACTCACTGACAGAGGGCCCCCTGAGCACGGCGCACTGGGGGCAGTGGTACAGGTCGATGTCGGCCGCCGCCTCCTCCTCCACCCCCACGCAGCTGCGGGGACATCCCAGTGACTCCCAGTGCTTCCCAGTAACGCCCACTGCACCCCAGAGCCCAGGCACAGAGCTCTCTTTGTACCTCCCAGTCCTTCCCAGTCACTACCAAGTCACTCCCAGTACCCCTGAGACCTTCCCAGGATCCCCCAGACCTTCCAGTACCCCCAAAATCCTTCCCAGTACCCCAATACCTCTCCTTTATCGCCCTCTCAATCCCCCCCAAATCTCTCCCAGTCCCTCCCAGACCTCTCCCAATCCCCCCAGACTATCCTAGTCCTTCCCAGTCCCCCCCCAGACCTCTCCCAGTCCCTTCCAGTGCCCCCCAGACCTCTTCCAGTCCCCCCCAGACCTCTCTCCGTCCCTCCCAGTGCCCCCCAGACCTCTCCCAGTCCTTTCCAGACTGTTTCCAGTCCCTCCCGGAGCCCCCCAGACCCCTCCGAGCAGCCGCACCTGCCATGGAACCAGTCCTGGCAGCCGTCGCACTCGATCATGAAGCGGGTCACGTCGTAGGGCAGGCGGCACAGGCAGTACACGGGCACCGAGGCCATGGCCGGGACACCCGGGGGGACCCCCCCGGCCCCTACGGACCCCCCCGACCCCTACGGACCCCTGCGAACCCCCCCGGCCGGGGACATCCGCCCGCCGCCCCCACGGACCCCCAAAAACACCCCCAACCCCCCAAAAAGCGCTCTCAAGAAGGTTTCCCAAAAAACAGCTTCAAACCGCCCCCCCCAAATGATCCCTCAGAAGCCCCTAAAAAGACCCCCAAAGTCCCCCCGCAAAACGTGGCCCGTGGGGACCCTGGGGGGAATTGGGGGGCACAATCCCCCCTAAAAATTTATAGGGGCCGGGAGCACCCCGAAAGGACCTTTAGGGATTAGGGAACCCCTTCCAGAGTGTTTACGGGGGCCTAAGACACCTCCAAAAGGGTCTAGGGATGTTGGAAGACCCCTCCGACGGCCACCAGAGGTCTTGGACCCCCTCCCGTGGGGCTGCAGGGCCCAGAGCCCCCCAGAAAAGGCGTCCCCGGGGTCCCCCCCGCTGTACCGAGCCCGCGGACACCTCCAAAGGGGCCTACAGGGTCTGGGGACCCCCAAAAGGTCGGCAGGGCCCAGCGTCCCCTCAGAGGGTCTGGGGGGTCCCGGTTCCCCCCTCCCAACGCGCTGTGGGGCCCCCGAGATCCCCTAAAGAACCGCAGAACCCCCCAAAAGCTTTCTGGATCCCCTAAAAGCCCCCGAGACCCTCGCAAGACCGGCGGGCCCCCCCCGAGGCCTGCGGGACGCCGCGAGGCCTGCACCTCCCCCACCGCCACCTCCCGACTAGGCCGCAGCCCGCCCCGGCCAGGCCCGGCGCTCCTCGCGGCCGCTCCTCCGCCGCCGCCCGGTCGCTGCCGCCCCTGCCGGCCTGGGCCCGGTGCCGCCGCTGCCGCCGCGGCCTCTGCGCGCTCCGGCCGCCCGGGAAAGTTTTATTCAAACGCGGAAACGGGGAGGGAGAGGGCGGGGCCCGGGCGCCATTTTGACCGCGTCGCGACGCCATCTTGGGAAGGGCGCGGGCGCCATTTTTGGAAGGACTTAACGCCCTCATTGGGTGTGCAGAGGGGGCGGGGCGATGCCGCCATCTTGGGAGTGGCGACGCGGGCGCCCTATTGAGTGTGGCGGGTCGGTCGCCATCTTGAGTGTGGCGAGACAGACGCCATTTTGGGAGTGGCGCGCACCAGCCACGCTTTTATTTTTTTTTTTTAATTTTGGGATTTTTTTTTTTTCGCGCTTTTTAACAATTTCCCCGCAAACGAAACGCGTTTCCCCACCCCCTCGGACCAGAACGCTCGCGAATTCAACCCCAAAACCTTGCTGGCTGGTGAAGGGGTGAGGTAGATGAGCAGAAAACACGACAAAATGACCCAAAAATGGGCTGAGGGAGGGGTCGAGGAATCAGAGAGGAGCCGTTGCACCAATACGACCAGTATGGAGGGGGTGGGTCACCACTAAATTCAGCGCAGCCAGCTCCCCTTTGCCATGGCTGCGTTAGGGGGCATTCCAGGTGAAAAACAGTAGTTTTGGGGCTCAGGGGTATTTTGGGATGAAACAAAGGCATTTTGGGATAAGTGAGAGAGTGAGTGAGAGGTTAGGGCTTAATCATTTGTGTTTTGGGGTGAAAAGAGGCCACTTTAGGGGCTAAAAATTGGGGTCGCTTCTTGTGAGGCTTAACAGGGGCAACAGGCCCAAAAAAGGGGTTTTTGTGTGAAATGAGAACATTTTGGGGCTGAAAACTGGAGTGACATGCCGGGGGAGAAGGACAGACCTGAAAGGAGACTTTTAGGATAAATTTTTGTGATTTTTGAAGGGCAAAAAGTCACGGGAGGGGTAAAAAAGGGGGAGATAGGCCCAAAAAAGGGGTTTTGGGGTGAAAGAGGGCCGTTTTGGGGACAGAAAGTGGTGTCACATTGAGGAGGTAAAAAAGAGGGGGAAGGCCACAAAAAAGGGGGGTTTTGGGGTGGAATGAGGAGATTTGGGGGCTAAAAGTTTGTGTCACCTCGTGCAGGGGGGGAGGCCCAAAAAAAGGGATTTCGGAGATAAAAGAAGGGATTTGGGACAGAAAGTTGGGGTCATCTCAAAGGGGTGCGCAGGGCACAAAATAGGGGAGTTTTGGGTGACATATGGGGATTTTGGGGCATTAGAAAATGGGGTCAGTGTGTGAAAAAGGGGAATGACTCACAAAAGGGGGGGGTTGGAGTAAAATACAGAGATTTTGGGGCCAAAAAGGGACTCGACCCAGGCAGAGCAAAAAGAGAGGATTTGGGGTCAAAATGAGGTGATCTGGGGCCAGAAATTGGGGTGCCACCATGGAGAGGGGGTCAGGCACCCTCAAAAGGGTAATTTTGGGGTGAAATGAGGCCAAATGTGGGGTCAGTCCATGAGGGGAGCAAAAAAGAGGGAATTTGGGGGATTTTAGGGCAAAATAAGGCAATTCCAGGGCCATAAATAGGGGTTACACCATGGGAGGCAGCTGGGCCCCAAAAAAGAGGAATTTCGGGGAAAAATGGGCTGGAAATCAGAGTTGACCCTACGAGGGGATCAAAAAGAGGGATTTTTGAGGTGAAACGAAACAATTTGGGGGCCGAAAATTGGGGTCAGCCTTTTTTGGACCCAAAATGAAGGGAGATTTGGGGTGAAAGTGGGATTTTTGGGATTTTGGGGTCTGGGGACCCCCCCTCACTCGGCCCCCGGGGGGAGGGGGCTGCCCCCCCCACGCAGGGCGGGTTTGGGGGGAGGGGGCAGCTCCCCCCATTTTCGGGGGGTCCCGCGGGTGCTGCGCAGGGTGGAGACCCACGATGAGGTGGCCTGGGGGGGGAGGGGAGAGGAAAAAAGAGGGGGGAGGGTCAGATTTTGGGGAAATCTCCCTGACCTCCAAGCCATCCCAGACCCCAAAAGATCCCCCCAGCCTCCCAAAAATCCCCTCAGCCCCCTCAAGAATGGGGTGCAGATCCCCCCAGATGTCCAAAAAGAGGGTGCAGAGCCCCCCAAACCCTCCAAAAATCACCCCAGACCCCCAAAAAGGTGGTAAAGACCCGCCTAGACACCCCCCAAAACTCCCCAGACCCCCAAAAATGGGCTGCAGGGCCGCCACAGCCCCCCCAAAAGCCCCCACAGACCCCGAAATCGCCCCCACCTGGGCCCGCGCCGTGTCCTGAGCCCACTCATCC